GATCCTTCCGCCTCAGACTTCCAAGTAGCCAGAACTACAGGCGTGTACTACCATGCCCGGCTGATTTTTTTTGTTGTTGATTTATTGTAGAGATGAGGTCTCGCTGCCCAGGCGGGTCTCGAACCCGCGGGCTCAGTCAATCCACTCACCTCAGCCTCCCAAAGGCGCAGGATTACAGGATGAGCCACCGAGCCCAGCATTTTAATTTGTTTCATAATTTGAGAAGTCAGTCATCCCAGCTTCTTATATTCTACCTTTTAAACACACATTTTGAGGCCAGGTGCGGTGGCTCAAGCCTGTAATCCCAGCATTTTGGGAGGCTGAGGTGAGACGACTGCCTGAGCCCAGGGGTTTGAGACCAGCCTGGGCAACTTGGTGAGACTGCATTTCTACAATACATCAAAGAATTAGCTAGGTGTGGTAGCATGCGCCAATAGTTCCAGCTACTTGGAAGGCTGAAGCAGAAGGATCATCTGAACACAGCAGGTCAGTGATGGGGTGACCATGAGTGGGCCATTGCACTCCAGCCTTGGTGACAGATACTGACTCAAAAAAAAAAAAAACACATTTTGCACACATACTCATATATGCCTCAAAGTGTAAGACAAGCATCTATCGCATTTTTAACACCAAAGACTATAGGAACTTTGGTCTGTCTTACCTGGCCAGGCTTTTTGTTTGCGGTTGTCGCAGTCTGTTCCACAGTTTTAGCTTTTTTCTTTTCTTTTTTCTTTTCTTTGTCAGCAAAAGTGCCCCGCATTTTAGATATTATATCAGAATCTGTTTTTGCATACTGAATTCGCTGTTTTAATGATATGAAAACAGGTTAGTTCTCATTACACTGCAGGCAGTTTGCACTAGTCATTAATATTTCAAATTTCATTATGCAAATACACAAGTTAACTTTAAACACATCCCTAAGGAAATATGTCAAAATACACTGAGTGCCAAATGGAAATAAATTGTGGCCTATAACTCACAACTTACACAAAATTAGACTCAACTGTGTTTATTAGAAGGAAAATATACATTCTCATCTTGGAAGAACAGTACTCTCACATATCCATACCACTGCTTCTCTCCATTTAATAAAAGAACAGAGAAAACTGCACTGGAAAGCTGTCTATCCCTACCCAGTGACTCTCAATAGAAGGGCCAACATATATCAATCAGCAGTGGAAAGTGTCTTACAGAATGTGACTCCCAATGGTTAAAGTACAAAAGACTGGGAATGACTGTCCTTTGAATCTATCATCTTTACATGAAATGACTTTAATAGAGGAATCAACTTAAATTTCAGAATGTTTTTAAAAGAAACAAAAGGATGGCACCAAAGTCAGTGCGACCAGGTCACTGGCTCACTCCTGCTATGCCAGCGTCAGCAGGAATGGCAGGCACCTGTCAGAACAGGGAAGCATTCAAAACTGGGTCCAGGGTCCAGGACATCATCCCAGTTGCCTGAAAAGCAGGTAAAAGCTCTGATGCAGTAGGTCTGGGTGAGACCTGGGACTCTGCACTTGTAACAACCACAAAGGGGATGATGACGCTATTGACATGGGGACCACCTCAAATAGTGCTGCCATGGTCTACAGCATTATCACACAGCTAGACACAACATCAATGAACTGTCCAAATATTTGTGCCATGAAAACTGTTAACTAGGGTATGACCATCTGTAAACTCCAACTTCCATTTCAGGCAGACATGTCTTCCTTAGAGCTGAAAGAATGATTGCCTCTCTGACCATATAAAACACAGCAGTCCTACAAGTTTCTACCTAAAATTGCCTTGTACAGCAAAATTTGATCTTGGTCTGAAGAAAACAAGAGACATTTTGAAGTAGTGTGGATTGATTAACAAAGCGAGGGGTTTGTCAAGATCAAAAGCACTTCTCTCTTTTCCTTTGCCTCAGCTAGAGATGATAGTACAAGGAAACAAGAGGAAGGGAGCAGGTCTAGCACTGCATCTCAAAAGCCCCGACTCTCTGGATGGCTTGGGCTGCCAGGTTCTAAGCATACTTACCCCGGCTCCTAAACAAAAGGAGACAGGCTGATGGCTTTGACTAACTTCTGACTTGGTCCCAAGTAGCCCCTCCCGAACCCTTTGGGTCTTCAACATTGTCCCTGACATGAATAAAACTTGAGTAACCTGATTTGTCTGTCCTTATGGCCCAATCACCTATAAACATATCTGATTTCAGCAGGCTCATCTAAACTGGTGGTTCTCAACCAGAGGTGATTTTGTCGGCCAGGTAGCAGCTGGCACTATCTGGAGACATTGCTGGTTATCATGATTCTGGCATCTAGAGGCTAGGGATGCTGTTAACACCCTATAAGGAACACGACAGCCCCTCACAATAAAAACTTGCTCAGTTCAAAGTGTCAAAAGTACCAGGGTTGAAACACCCTGGTCTAGACTAAATACCCATAAAAGATAAAAGTCCATCCACAATGTAAAGACAGACAAGGGCAAGCTGTACATCTGTGTCAAAGATTTCACGCCAGAAGTCCTTAGGAAGATGGTTTCACTTTACTAAGGTATTTCTGGCATTAAATAACTAAATGTCCTTGAATCACAGCATATAATTTTGTTCATTTCTTGTCTGGTATGTTGGAGTTAAAATAGAAGAGCAACTAAAATCACTTAAATACGAACAAGACAGCTCAGAGATCTCTACTCTTCTCTTCCCAGATGCTGTAGATCTGGCATATGTTACCTTCCTGAAGGAAAAGAATGGACAGCCTTAAATAACTACAATAGAAAATCAGCTAATAGACTTTTCCCATAAATTTTAAGTAATATTTAGTTGGCAAGATGAGAATGGTACCAAACACAGCAGACAATGTCCACCTTTCCTGTACCTGAGTGGTAGGTACATGCAAACTTGTTACCTCGACTCAGCAAAATAGCCCTAAAACCCTCTAAAGGGAAAAACTGCATCTTCATGTTAATGTAATAACTCAGTCTCATGCTGAGACCTTAATTATGTTATTTCTTCATACTTCTAAGAAAGATCAGCTGGTTCAGGAAATGCCAATTTACTAAAAATCAGGGTATATAAGCACCATCCCCCAGGTCCCCAGGATAGGCCTTTTCACACAAATGGTGTCAAGTCAGCTGGAAAGTGATGGAAATAAGAGGTGAATGTAGAATGAGAAGAAATCTTGCTCTAGAAGCAGATAAAGATGCTCAGTCCTGAATTAGTGGTCTGCAATACAGCCTGTGGACCAAAGCCTGTCCACATCCTGTTTCTGCATGGTCTATAAGTTAAGGGCGACAGAGTGAGACTCCAACTCAAAAAAAAAATAATAAATAATAATAATATTATGTACATAATATTTACATAATATTAAAGAGTTGTTAAAAAAAATACACACACAAAAGAATAGGTAACAGAAAGCATATGTGGTCCACAAGCCCTATCTGGTCCTGAATTAGACTAAATATTCAACCTGTTTACACTTTAGAGGTGGTGAAACTGACGACAGGCACAGAGCTAATTAACTGTAGAACCAGAATGAGGACGCTGATCTCTCTACTCTGGGCCTTGGCTCTTTCTCCAGCACTCTATCACATCACATTCCAATCCCAGAAGAAAAAGTTTGGAATCCATACCCAAATACTGTGTACTCTCTAACACATACAGACCCCCTTGCATCACCCTCTGTGCAAACACTAATCCAAGCCTCTACCATCTCTGACTTACACAAAGGGTCTCCTGCTGTAAGGAATTTCCCCTCTGTTCCTCCCACAATCCAATCTTCAGCTAGCAACTGGACATGAATCTCTTTAAGTCATTCCTGAGTTTAAAACTCCATGTATAACTCTTTCACTTCTGTTCTTAATCATAAAACCTGAGTTTAAATTCATGATTTTTCCTTAGACCACTGCTTTATCTAAACTGCATAATTTCTGACATACAGTATTTCATTATAGCATTTTCTGAAACTTTGGACTGAATTTGCTCTTTGTCCCATGATTTTTGAGTTTTGTTTTTTTTTTTGGTTCACAAACATAGGTTTATTTTTAAGTCTTCTGAGTTATTATTACTTTCTTTTTTTTGAGTTGGAGTCTCACTCTGTCACCCAGACTGGAATGTAATGGCACGCTCCCGGCCATTGCAGCCTTGACCTGCTGGGCTCCAGCGATCCTTCCGCCTCAGCCTTCCAAATAGCCGGAACTACAGGCGAGCGCTACCACGTTCAGTTGATTTTTTATTTATTGTAGAGATGAGGTCTTGCCAAGTTGCCCGGGTGGGTCTCGAACCCACGGGCTCAGGCAATCCACTCACCTCAGCCTCCCAAAGTGCTGGGATTAGAGGCTGAGCTACCAAGCCTGGCTGAGTTATTATTAATTTCTAATTTTTTTGAGTTAAGAATATTTTTATTTCTCAATGTATTTTGTTTTCTCTCATTTCAACTGTCATAAAAAAAGAGTAAATCAGGCCAGGCACAGTGGTTCACATCTATAATCCCAGCTGCTTGGGAGGCCAAGGAAGGAGGACAGCATGAGCCCAGGAGTTCGACACGAGCCTAGACAACACAGTGAGACTTAGTCTCTACAAAACAACTAAAAACCTAGCCAGGCATGAATCTGTAGCCCCAGCTACTCAGGAGGTCAAGGATGCAGTGAGCCATGATCATACCACTCTACCCCTGGACAACAGAGTGAAACCCAGACTCAAAAAAATAAATGAGTAAAATTAAACTCTACTACAACTGTATTTCTATAAAAACACATAAATAATCACAAATTACTTCTAACATTTTAGTTTCAAGCATATTCACAAAGCTACCATACCATTAACTTCTCGATTAAAGTGAAAATAATAGGATTGACTTACCATTGGTTTACCATAAAATGGAAATCCTTGTAACTGTCTCAAAGCATTTGTGGATGAGCCCAGTTCCTTAAATATGACAAAGGCCTGCCCCCTCATCTTCATGGTCTTTAAAGCCACGATATCCACCACATGGCCAAACTGGGAAAACAGGGCATATAGGGATCTCTTCAATTCTGTCCAAATTAAAGGAGAAACAAGTTATTGGTGAATGAAACAATGACAAAAGTCTACATAAAAGGACACCTCATTAAGTGACCTCCCCACCATCCATCTGGCTACTCAGAGTTATGTATTTCAATAAAAATATACTATTCCCATTGGCTATCTAATTTAAAAAGTTATATGAAATTACCATATCTATGAGTTCCTACCTGTTTATTTTTAAAAAGTCTTAAAATTCTTACATTAAACAGGACAAACCATTATTTCAGGCACTAAGAAAGATGACTAGATGTAAAGTTTTGAAAAAAAATACAATTTTTTTTTTTTTTGAGTTGGAGTCTCACTCTGTTGCCCAGACTAGAGTGCAGTGGCATGCTCCTGGCAACCGCAGCCTCAAACTGCTGGGTTCCAGCGATCCCTCCGCCTCAGTCTTCCAAGTAGCTGGAACTACAGACGCGTGCTACCACGCCCGGCTTATTTAAAAGAGTCGTGAATAAACACATTTTACCTGTGAACAAATATTTTTAAAAGCACTTACCTTCTTTTTTAATTTTGTCATTCATATTGTTGATATAAATTGTATGATTTGGTCTGATATCCATGTTTGGGGAATTCTTTGAATAGCCTAAAGAGATAGGAAACAGATTCATCTGTTATAAAGAGGGAAGATTAAATTATACTGGAACGTGACATAAGGATACAACACAAAGGTTATTAACTTTTTCACTGTCTTTCAATTCCAAATGTCAGAAAATGTCAGTTTGGCTGTAGCTTTTAATGCCTCTTCAACACTTGTTAGTATTCTCTTTTAGATAAAAAAGAATGGTTTCTCAGGTTCAAAACTTGGTGGAGCACCAGTACATAGTCAGATTTTAACAAAATCATTTTATTACACACAGTGAATTTTACACTTACTTTTCATTTATGACAAGCGATGTTGTCTTTCTACCTGCCTAATGAAATAATTTTTTTTTGTTGAGTTGGAGTCTCACTCTGCCATCCAGGTTGGAGTGCAGTGGCATGCTGCTCCACGGACACCACAGCCTCGACCTGCTGGGCTCAGGTGATCCTTCTGCCTCAGCCTTCCTTGTAGGTAGAATTACAGGCATCCATGCACCATTCCTGACTAGTTTTTTTAAACTATTATGGAGATGAGGTCTCCCCAAGTTGCCCAGGCTGGTCTCGAAACCATGGGCTCAGACAATCCTCTCAGCCCAGCCTCCCAAAGTGCTGAGATTATAGGAGTGAGCCACCATGCCCAGATAATTTTTTAAATAAAATTATTTAAAAATTTAGATTTGAAGAAAAATGAAAAATCAGCAAACATACATCCAGAAAAAAATCATTAAGACAGAAAATTAACGAAGTTTGCCAACTACTTCATGAGTGCACTTACAAAGTACTTCCATACCTATTACCTTATTTGTATATACCATCATGAAGCTGTCTTGAATACAAGGTTACCTCTAACCACTTGAATGGTGTTCACAGAGAGCACGCAGCATAGCAGTTAACAGCTCAGATTCAAGTATCAGACAGCTCTGAATTCTAATCCTGTCTAGACTTCTTACAAGTTGCCTGCTTGAGGGCAAATTCCTTAGTCTCTCAGGTTCTCATCTGTAAAATGGGGACAGTAGCAGTGCCTACCCAATGGAACTCAGAAGACTAACTGAGATAAAGTTTTAGCTCAGTTCTGCATCAGCAGTTAAGCACTTAAAGTAGCTACGACTAAGGGCCATTACACGTTAAGGGTTCAGATCTAATTAGCAGCAAACCTGAGAATTTAGCCCTTGCCTTCTCTTCTACGCTATTCTTTTGCATCCATCCACTATTTCATTTTTTACTTTGCTTTTACTTGCGAATGGATAACTTGCTTGATTTCCTTGGGTGCCCACGTACTCCCTCATCTCACAAGTATTCACAGAGTACCCAGTGTACGTAAACAGCATTGGATGGCTGGCAGGGAAAGAACCTACTGACAGGGGTTGTACCTGTGCAACCAACAGATAAAAAGGTAACGCCTCCCAAAGCCTGGCGATCCCTAAATCTAAATCTGGAGAAGCGACAGGGGTCGTGGGAGAGACAAGGTCTAAGTGATAGAGACAGAAGTCAAACCGAGGCAGGGAGGCACGGACGAGGCTCTTGCCGTATCTCGTGCGAGGTTTGATGACTGGAGGATCCGTGCAGGGACACTCGGGGTTGCCCAACTCAACTCCCACAATTCAAAAAGGGGCACTGAAAACGCACAGTGATCTGCCAACGCCTTGTACAAATCAAGAGGCATTCATTACTCTTTGCGAGGTTTCACGCGCAAGCTTCTGGCCCCTCCAGATACAGGCGCCTTCGCCCGACGCCCCCGCCTGAAGTCCAAAGGCGCCGTCGCTCGACCTTGGCCCCAGCCGGTCCCACTGGAGACAAGGCTCCTATGTTAAGGCCTCGCCAAGCCGGCGCTGTCTCCATCCCTTCCACGCCCCGAGTCAACCCTCCACGAACCCCGTAGATCACGCATCCCGACCCCACTTTCGCGCCTTGTCAGTCCCCGGCCGAGAGTTGGGGCAAACTAGCCAGGAAAACAGAAACAACGAGTGAGAAGGCGCTCGAACCCACCTGAGGCCCACGCGGTTTCTAGTAAGAACCAGAGTCGGAAGTGAAGCCAGGCACCGGAAATAGACGTTTCACTCTCCTCAATCGAGCGCCGACAAGACGAGAAGACGAGCACCGAGTCGATCGATGCTTCCAGTCTCCGGCGGCAGCAGCTGGGACTGTCTCTGCGCGTGCGCATATTTGGCGGGCGGGAGAAGCGACTGGAGAAGGGAATGGGGCTTGGGAGGACACTTGTGGGTACTCTGTAGGGTCAAACTGGAATCCTGGGGCCATGCTGTGAGTGGAGAGGGGAGGGAGAGAGAGTGAATCATAACCCCCACCACGACCTTACGAGGTTTTACCCCAACACAGCGGTGCTTCCATCTTTCCAATTCCTATAATTTTGCAGCCACTGCCCCACATGCTGACTGTGGGGCAAATGGCCTTGGTTTCGACCTTATGTGGGTTCCCGAGACCCAAGTTAACATCACATTTATGAGAGCCAGTGCCCTCCACCCCAAGTTTCCTCCGATTCCTCCGAAGGAACCCCTCCTCCAACACTGCTGATTAGCTTGAATCCCAGAGGCAACCCAGCTTGAGGCCCCAGAGCGGTGAGACCCGATGTGTCTGCCCAATTCTGTCACCTCTCACCAGATAAGGCAACCGTGCTCCATTAGTACCCAATCATCTGTAAGATCATCTGCCTCAACTCTTGAAAAAAACAATTTCCTATCATCCTTCCTACTCTCTTGTCTCCCCACAAAATGCCTAGATTTTTCTAGGGTAATCTCTGGAGTTATTGTTTATGCCAGGCTGGTTGGGAATTCCAAAAAGTATGTTCATGCATCAAGTGTGTGTAAACATCACCTAGAATGTGAAAGGATTAAGAGCCAAGGGGAATCTAATGTGAACTGATCTCTTTGATCTTCACTTTCCTCATCTGTAAAGTAGGATCATAATAGTACCTCCTTCTAGTTATTGTGAGGATTAAATGAGCTAAATGTAAAGTGATTACCACATTGCCAGACACAAAATAAATGGTTCATAAATATTATTTCTGAATGCTGCCCGTGACTTGGACATATGGGTGAGGGGGATAGAAGCCAAATAGGTTGGTTTTATCAGCTGGGTATTTTTATTTTAAAAGAGCATCTAAAGTTATGACAACTTAATTAGCCAAGTGTGGTAGTGCATACCTGTAGTTCTAGCTACTTGAAAGGCTGAGACAGAAGGATCGCTTGAGCCCAGCAGATTGAGCCCAGCAGGTTGAGCCCAGCCCTGTGGTGGCCATGAGCATGCCACTGCACTCCAGCCTGGATGACAGAGACTCCGATTCAAAAAATAAAAAATACCCCCCAAAAAGTTGCAACAATTTGAAAACAATATGAGCTGTTTGAGGGTGGGGGTTTTTGTCTGCTTTGTTCACTCAAGTATCCTCAGTAATTAGAAAAGTTACTGATATTCAATTAATATGTTCTGAATGAACGAATCAAATGAAAAATTAGGCAACAATAAAACAAATGTGATATGAAGATGCACATAAGTGTAGAAAATAAGGTTAAAAAGAAAAGCATTATTATATATATCTGAAAACTAGAAGCATACATAGTCCAATTTCAATTAAAGAATTATGAGTGTATCTTTAACAAATTAAAATGATATTCAATTAATATGTTCTGAATGAATGAATCAAATGAAAAATTAGGCAACAATAAAACAAATGTGATATGAAGATGCACATTCGTGCAGAAAATAAGGTTAAAAAGAAAAGCATTATTATATATATCTGAAAACTAGAAGCGTAAATAGTCCAATTTCAATTAAAGAATTATGAGTGTATCTTTAACAATTAAAAGTGAATATAAAGCCAATATAAGACAATTTCTAAATAACAAAGGACAACTGCTCTGTGCATTACTAAGGACATCTGAGCAATTAATCAGTTCTGTTTGATGATAATGAGGATGGCTGAACTATTTTTCTGAAAATAAACTATCATCTGACTGTATTATACAAGTGGATCTGGCCAAGACTTTATAACTGTTAAAAGAGGATAAGATATGATTATGCAAAGATACTGTACCTGGGAAGAAATTACCATAGAGAACACAGAGGCCTGGAGACAGACGGCACCATTGTGTTCCATTAACAGCTAAATTACAGCTGCTGTACATTACATTGTGAGAAGGAAATCATCTAGAGCCAACTCAGTGGCCAGCATCTGCAAGCTCTTTTCCAGGTTCTTGTAAAAAGAACCAATGCATTTACCTGTCCTTGGGCAGTTGCTCTGGCCTTTCCAGTAACTTGCTAATGATTCTCAGTGGTTTCTGAATGATTTTGAGAAACCAGTAATTGAAAGCAGGGATGGAAGGGAATGAAGAGGAGAGAGAAGCTTTTCTGGGCTTGTGAGAATCCTTGCATGGCCTATTTATATAACTGTATCAATCACATTAGAACAGCTGAACTTTGGTCACACATACTGCAAAACCACCATCATTCCTCTGTAACCAAATTCACCTCTTGAGGGTCAGATCAGGAATCAGACATCAAAAACGTTTTAAAAAACAATAGAAGAGTAAGTGGGCTTTGTTGAAGTTCTGCTCTGTCTGGTCTCTCATATTGCAGTTAAGCACCATGATTTACTTTGCTGTGAGACAGGTTTTTATCTAACTAAACCCGGAGGCAGTGCTATAAGCACCCCATCCAAGCTTCATGTGTCTATGATGATAAAACTTGTTTATTTTAGTTTAGCAGAAAAAATGCTACAAACAGTAGAGAATAAAACTGGGTCAAGACATCTAAATTATAAGGATGATAACCGAGACGTCTCTGAGTGACTCTGAATATACATATATTTTCCCACCTTATCTGCACATGTTTTATGTTTCTCATTAAATGTTTTCAGTATCTTGCTGCAGTAGTTTTGAGAAGGGCCATGTTTAAAGGAAAATGCATCATAAAACTGTGGTGGATATATTTTGTCTTATTTATGTTAGATAGACTACAAAATGTATTGCAATTTGTGTGTATCTTCTTTCTCTCCCCAGGTGGTGATTACATTAAGAAATTTATGTAGAGTGAAATTATTTTCACAACAAGCGTTAAACAAATGTAGGCATTATTGTTGGGTGCAAAATCAGGTTTATATTCTACTAGGTGGTTGGGATTATGTTGGCTGAAACTTCCAGAAAAAGCCCTCCTCCCCCAGTTCCCCACCATTCAGGAAGGAAACAATTTTGTGCAATTAATTTTCTTTTATTTCACCTTACTATTTTATTCTTTGTTTCCAGGGATGATAAAAACCCAGAAATGACTATCACCTCTAATGGGTACTACTGTGTTAATATTAATAATGACGTGTCATTCATGTACGCCCAAACGCCCTCTTCCCAGGGTGGATGAAATATGAGATAGGCTATGACAATGTATATATTCTGTGAAGTTTGGAAATAGTAGTTTGCCTTTGAGGACCTGATAACCAATCCAAAGAACGATTGAGGGGGACTGAACTTTTACCATCCAGTACTGTGAGACATGTAGATATACCCAGTATAGTATGGTCTGCCCTCCCCCAATGTCAGCTAAAATAACATCACACAACTGCCATTCCCTTCAAGATTAGAAAATTAAGAAGCCACTCCCATGAGAGACCCCCCCCAATAAAAAGTAGCATATTATGCAGATACAATTCTTAAATACAGCAGGTTTGGCTTCTCTTATGATTCACTGCTATAAAATTTTTTGAGTCTTTAGACCATAGGACCAATTGAAAATTCAAATTAAAAAAAAAATGTTGGGCCCCAATTGTGTAATTTCAAACATGATGAATATTGATTTAATGGGCATTGTCAAGAGATCCTAATTTTCAAATGCTAATGTGCATGCAGGTCACCTAGAGATTTTGTTGAAATCAAATTTTGATTTGGCAAGATTGGAACAGTCCCCAAGAAGGTGCATTTATAGCAAGTTCCCAGTCAATGCTGATGCTGCTGGTTTCTATCACATTTTGGGTACCAAGATCTTAAACATTTCTTCTTCATAAGTGGTTGGTAGGTTATCCCAGCATCACACAACAGTCAGCTCTGGAGTCTCAGAGATACTATCAGAAACAGAATACTATCTTCTCATGCAAACACAAATCAACCATTTCTGTCAAAGAAGGTCAAATTTTTGAAACTTCTTTTTTTTTTAAACTGCCTTCAACTGGGCATTTGAAAATAAATCTTAAGTGAAACTAAGAAAGGCTGGAATTTTTGTTTCCCTTTAACAAGAAATTGCTTGATTATTTGTGAAGCCCTGGGTCACTTTCTACTTTGTGGAAGTCATTACAGCTGCACACAAATACTGTGATTCTTGCTCCTGTCAGGCTCCTCTATGAGGAGCCTGCTCTGCTCTGCTTCCTTTGAAAATTAGAATGACCATGTAACTACGTTGGCTAATGAAGTAGGCGAACATGAGATATATATGACTTCCAGACATAAACTTCAAGAGCCAGTGCACCATTTGCCAAATGTCTTTTTTCCTGTCTTTATGACCTTAGAGACATATCCCAAGATGGCACTTCTGTTGAACTTAGGTCCCTAAGAGGCTACAATGATTAGAAGATATCACCCCTCCTTAACACACACACACACCAATTCAAGTTGGTCATATAATATAAGCAAGAAATAAGCTGAGATTTAGGGAATATTTGTTAATGCAACATAGCCTAGCCCATCCTGACTTTATACACTAATCGAAACCACATCTAAGAAATAATTATTAGAAAGCTAAAAAGAGTTTTACACAAGCTATTTCATAATTATATACTATTTTTGAGTATACAAGAGATTATATATCTGAGGTAATTCATACCTTTTAAAGAGAAAATGAAAATAACAAATGTATAATTAACTATATGATCCATCTTCTGAGTGACCTTTATTGGGTAATTTAGTCTCACACTTAATAAACACCTCTGTAAGGTGACTATATAAGAAAATATGTTACGACTGAGCTAAGAGGAAATCAGGAGCTGGTAACATGTTAACAAACTTTTAGAGAAAGGTTCTGAAGAAATCAAGAGAGATTATGTTCATAACTC